TCTGAGTTCTTAAGTACGAGGTCGCTTGGAAAAAGGCTGGGGGAGATACCGACATGGACCCAGACAACAGAGGCAGAAGCACACAGAGTGAGGGTAGTAGGCCGCAGCCAGATGTTAACCGGAATGCAGAAGAAAACTAGGAGCAACAACAGGGGGACAGACCCCAGGACGAAAGAATGAGTACATTCGGCTTACAATATAAATAGGCCAGGACAAACACCACTTGGGACGGTGAGATTAATTTCTCTGGACCGAGCCAGCCGGGAAAAACTATCACGCCGACGGACGCATGAATGAGGGGAAAAAACTCGGGTGTATAAGTATAACCCCAAGTGGCAACATGGCAGTATGAAAACAGGCACGACATACTGGTATCTATTGCCAGAAAAGAAAGAGAAGAGGATGCGCAGACATGAAGGGTCGGAGCGCATGGAGTTTGGTGAGCCTCAAAACACTGACTGAAGAAGTCGGGCAAAAAGAACAGCAACAAAAGAAAAACACATCAGACGCCATGTTCGCAAGAGAAAAAAATGTTGTTGCGCGAGAAATCATTTCTCACCTAACTTGCTCAGCTCGGCCGGCGAGAAATCATACTGACTTATGTGGAGAAAAACAAACAGGTACTGAGTAGGGGCTGCACTGGGCATCAGTGATGGTGAGGTACCAGGAGCTCCACCGAGCAAAGGTCTCGGTTTCAATGCCACGAGCACGCACCAGGAAAAAGCCAAGAGAAGTGTAAAGCGAAGCTAGATCTAGTTATGGGGAAGGGGAAGTAGAATTGGGTACAATGAAGGTAATAGTGCCGGTAAGTGTTTAGAAAAAAATAAAAAAACATTTTTTAACGTGTTGTTTCTTTTCTAAGCACTCACAGACTCCATTGCAGCCATTCACACATTATAGGGTACCTCACTTCAAACTCTCCAACTACGGTCTCTTCGCTGCATACGTTCACTTCACTTCCAAAAAATATATAATAATATTAGATACAAATGGAATGCACCAAATTTTCGGGCATGGCCCATCTTCAGGGTGAAAAAACCATTCAACTAAAGCCAACAAAAACTGAAACGAGTATATATGCTGTGTGGTGCGGTAGTGCTGGAAATCTTTCTATGTGTGGAGGGTAGCAGCAATGGTGAAGTGTGTTGGTAGAAAGGGAAGGAGCGAAAGAGACCAGTGGAGAGCTGTGTCTGTAAGTGTGAATATGTGTTAGTGCGATGTGAAGGGAAAGCACGAGAAGTGTGGTTACCAGCAGCAATGGTGAAGTGTGTTGGTAGAAAGGGAAGGAGCCAAGTGGAGAGCTGTGTCTGTAAGTGTGAATATGTGTTATTGACATGGAGAATAGAATGCAAAGCATGCAATGTAGCTGGGTCCATGGGTGTGAAGACCAAGATGACGACAACTATTTGCTAAGCACTATATAACCATATAACCAGCTAGCACACATAAACATCAAAATAATATCAAATATTATCATATCATATATTCGCAACATCACAGTCTACCACAATTTACAACACCAGCATCTAACACAATAGTTTCACACTGTGTCCAGCAGTCTCCAGCCACGATCCCTGTTAACACTTGGGCGTTTATCACGAATGAACATTGCTTCACGTATACGACGATTCACAAGGGACGACTGCTTGGCGAGAATTGATGCGTTGGTGATGGGTGTAGATGTGATTGCTTGTTGTGGGTGGTGTTCTGCATAGTGTTCTCCCCATGGCGTCTCCAGCGCTTGCGCTTTGGCCTCTCTGCAATGCTCCTCAAATCTCTTCCTTGCAGTTCGCTCGGTCTCGCCAACGTACTCCTCGGCGCAAAGTGCTCATAACATCGAGTAGATAACATCTTGAGACAAACATTGACCACTCTCCATACCAGCATCACATGCACGACATTCAACTGGTCGCCCCCTCCCTCTTCTCTCCTTATACACTTCCTTCGGGCATTCAGGACGGGACAATGATGACGATACCAACATGTCCCTTAGTGACCGACCGGACTGGAACACCACACGCACATCCTTACTGAAAGACCTCACTGTACGACGAACATCGCGTGCCAAACGATCATTGACGAAGGGCAGTTTGATGATGGATGTGTACAATTGTTGTCGTTGTCTGGTGGATGATGGTCTTGGTGTGCTTGCATGGTGCTTGGCTGCTTGAATAGCGTGTTGTGGGTAGTCGTTGTCTGGTAGTAATGTCTCGATCTTCTTCTCTCCCCGCTCCCTCCCCCTGTCGGTTGACGCGTTGATGTTTGCGCGCCGAAGCTGCTCCTGGGCAACCGAACGCTTCACCCCCAATGGCAATGAAGACTCGTACGATAGATGGACACCACTATGACTGGGTTTAACGAACAACTCCCACTGCACAACACCACTCTCCACAGAGATAGACAAGTCGAGGTAGCTGATTGTGTGCGAGACATTCTGCTGGGTGTGTTCTACTGTGAAGCGTATGTCTGGGTGTCTGCTGCTCAAGTACTGCACGAACTCCATCAACTTGACAAGACCATGACACCATACTACCAGACAATCATCGATGTAGCGACGATACAAGCGAGGCTTCCACGGAAACATAGCCATCGCCTCCGACTCGAGCTTCGACATGAAAACGATTGCCATTGGGGGTGCGAGATGGTTGCCCATTGCCAGGCCTTTCCGCTGCCTGTAGTGGACACCGTCAAATTGGAAGTAGTTGGACGACAACACGACTGACAGGAGCTCCCAATCGTACACATCCATCATCAAACTGCCCTTCGTCAATGATCGTTTGGCACGCGATGTTCGTCGTACGGTGAGGTCTTTCAGTAAGGATGTGCGTGTGGTGTTCCAGTCCGGTCGGTCACTAAGGGACATGTTGGTATCGTCATCATTGTCCCGTCCTGAATGCCCGAAGGAAGTGTATAAGAAGAGAAGAGGGAGGGGGCGACCAGTTGAATGTCGTGCATGTGATGCTGGTATGGAGAGTGGTCAATGTTTGTCTCAAGATGTTATCTACTCGATGTTATGTGCACTTTGCGCCGAGGAGTACGTTGGCGAGACCGAGCGAACTGCAAGGAAGAGATTTGAGGAGCATTGCAGAGAGGCCAAAGCGCAAGCGCTGGAGACGCCATGGGGAGAACACTATGCAGAACACCACCCACAACAAGCAATCACATCTACACCCATCACCAACGCATCAATTCTCGCCAAGCAGTCGTCCCTTGTGAATCGTCGTATACGTGAAGCAATGTTCATTCGTGATAAACGCCCAAGTGTTAACAGGGATCGTGGCTGGAGACTGCTGGACACAGTGTGAAACTATTGTGTTAGATGCTGGTGTTGTAAATTGTGGTAGACTGTGATGTTGCGAATATATGATATGATAATATTTGATATTATTTTGATGTTTATGTGTGCTAGCTGGTTATATGGTTATATAGTGCTTAGCAAATAGTTGTCGTCATCTTGGTCTTCACTCCCATGGACCCAGCTACATTGCATGCTTTGCATTCTATTCTCCATGTCAATAACACATATTCACACTTACAGACACAGCTCTCCACTTGGCTCCTTCCCTTTCTACCAACACACTTCACCATTGCTGCTGGTAACCACACTTCTCGTGCTTTCCCTTCACATCGCACTAACACATATTCACACTTACAGACACAGCTCTCCACTGGTCTCTTTCGCTCCTTCCCTTTCTACCAACACACTTCACCATTGCTGCTACCCTCCACACATAGAAAGATTTCCAGCACTACCGCACCACACAGCATATATACTCGTTTCAGTTTTTGTTGGCTTTAGTTGAATGGTTTTTTCACCCTGAAGATGGGCCATGCCCGAAAATTTGGTGCATTCCATTTGTATCTAATATTATTTATATTTTTTTGGAAGTGAAGTGAACGTATGCAGCGAAGAGACCGTAGTTGGAGAGTTTGAAGTGAGGTACCCTATAATGTGTTGTTTCTTGGTCCTTTTCTTCACTATTTAATAATCCTTGGCTCACCATCCGAACCTATGTATTTAAAATCTCTGTTTTTTTATGCAGTGACTGCATTTCTGAAGATGAGAATTTCCTGAGATTCCGTTGATTTTCCTATGTTTTCTTCTTTTTCAGTGATTGGTGCACCAAAAAAATTCACGGTTCGCGTGAGACTCGGCTGGAAACCGAATTTTCCGCATCCGTAGGAACGCCACCACCCTTCAAGGATCAAGGCGCTGATGCAGCTCCTAAGGGCCGGGTTCCACTGCGGCTCCGGTGCTCCGCTGCTCGTCTTTCGCGGCTTGAAACGTCATCATTACCTTAGTGACCGCGGCTCGAGCTGGAGCAGCGAGGCCGCGGCTCACCGCGAGCTTTTGCTACGATTCTTGACCAAAAACTGCGAGCCGCGGTCGCGGCTCGACCTGTTTCCCGTACTTTGCATTGTTTCGTACGCCAGAATTTTATAATTCAAAATTTAATTCGTTGCGCAGGCCAGAACACGAGGATTTTTTGATTTCACCTGCCTGCGCGCGCGCAGGCAGGTGAAACGTCATCAAAAAGTGTGGACTACGACCGCCGTGCCGCCAATGGCGAGTGTCAGTGGAACGCGCTGCTCCGCTGCATGCAGCCAAGTGCCGCGGAGCAGCGGAGCCGCAGTGGAACCCGGCCCTAAAGCGGTGGGAGGTAAATATAATCCGCTCACCAGAAAGTGGTCAAAGACCGAAAATCCCATTCACTGCATCCATGTTCTCCTCGTGCCAGGCCACGAGTTCCCAATTAACTGTGGGTCGCAGCACGGCTGGAAAAAATCCTTCCGCTTCCAAGCAGGACTTGAACCTGGTACCCTCTGTTTCTCAATCATGGTCTTAGACCATCCCACTATGCCTGCCTGTCCAAGAGTATAGAGTATTAGAGACCGCTTGGTGAGTGTTGTGATGATGTACGGATATGCAGGATTGATCAGCAAAAACATGGCTTCGTTTGTGCCTACGTGTATGTGTATGTGTATTTTTGTGACATTAGGACAAGCCAGGTCTAAGAATCCATTCAAGTCTCGCAAATTCATGGCTGAGTTGTGGTCTCTGATGTACGACATGCCACAAGAAAAACTTTGCCGTGGCTGTAGAGATGCCAACCTTATCAGCTTCAGTACTGTGCACGACCTAGGGAGAATCTTGTTGCATCGTGGGCGGAATGCACATGTTGACAAACTTGTCGAGCTCCTTGTTGCTGGGGGGCATGAAAGCTATGCAGGACTGTGCGATGTCATTGTCGGCATGGACATCAGTGAGGAATCGAACAAGCGGTGGGCAGATGCGAAGAAGGACGAGCTGTAAGCGTTCAGCACATGCACAGCCTATTAAAGGTGAGAACGCATGTACACAATGTAACACACTTAAAGAAATATTCTTTTTTGCTTTTTTATATTTTTTACTGCCATGGCTGGCTACCGCCCCGCCCCCCCCCCCCCTCCCTCCATATTGGCCCATATTCTCTGGCCACGGGAAGGTGAAATAAAAAATAAAATAAATAAAAAATGAAAACTGTCTGTAAAAGCCCTTAAAACATTGAGCAGCATGCAAGCTGATTCTACTAAATAATTATATTTTTCATGAGGTTCACTTAAAAATTACCTGTATGCCTATGTAGGACGGAAACCTACATCGTAGGTACCGATGCGGTTTAGTGACAGTGACGTGTTGACTTTTTCCCTTGACACCCGGGGAATGGGACAGGTGTTTGCTCTCCACACAAGACCTTGCGCTTCTCCGCCGCCTTGAGTTGACACTTAGCCGATTCACGACTGACGTTCAACGAACTTTGGACTTTGCTGTTGTGCAAGAAATCACCACGCTCTCTGCTCAATATTTTCAATCATTTTGAAAGTCATCAAGATGGTTAGAGCACTACTCATGACAAGCAAGGTCCGGGGTGCGAGTGCTGGTGGGTCTGGCGGTTTTTTTCTCTCATTTCAGGCTAGTCACTGCCCCGACTCATCTCCTGTGACGTTATCTGTTGCTCTGTTTATGCATAGAAAGTGGGGAAAAGGTCACGCTAAAAAATGCACGATTAGCATTGGGTGGTAAAAATGACGTTATTCAGCCCTTTCGGACCAGCGCCAATCGTTTCAACCTACAGAAGAGTACCAGTAACGGAGACATCACTTTTCTGTTTGCTCCTATAAGAACGGATTGACGCGTCAGGAATAAAATTCCATACAGATCCCCATAGTCGGGCATATACATATACATGTATTGGACCGTGATTTGTAAAACAAAATCCCCTCTCTTTGATTGAGACAAGGACAGCGGTGGGTCACAAGTTCTGCGTTAGAGTCCACCAACTAAACCAGGTTTTGAACAGTCAGACGTGCACAAGTTTTGTTTGTTTTTTAACTTTTTTATCTGTGTTAAAACCTACAGGAGTCCCGTAGAGAACGACGGCATTGGCGAGGCGATGAAATGTGCAAGAGACCACCTTTCGTTGAGATAGAAGGCTTCTGTACAGCACAGGTGTTGTATGAACTGGTGCCAAGTTACCCGACCAAGAGGCTGTGTCAAGGACTGTTTGTCGGCCGGTTCGACCTTTCCATTGGTCATTTTTATCATACATGTTATTGTAAAGCGTATGTCTACTGGTTTGTCTCTGCTAGCATGCTATGTCTCTGCATGTGAAGGTGTTGGCATGTAGCAGTATTGCCTGGCAGTCACACTGTGCATGTCCGGCTCACACAGATGCATAAGGCCGTTTTTTTGTCTTCATTTTTTTCCTTCTCTCTTTTTACGATTTTTCGCCTTCTTTTTTTTTGTATCGCAGATGCTCCTGCTGCGGCTGCTTATAATGATGATGATGATGATGATGCATGTCTAGTGGATTTTAGGTGTTGTCTAGTGCAATGGAATGCATACATGTATGTTCTAATGCTGGCACTGGCTTTTAAGTCGCCGCACACGCTTAGGTTTACATTGCAGATAAAAAAAAGGCTAGTGCATTCACAATTTTCTTTGTTTTTACTTTTCCCATTGTTACACAAATATATATTAGACTCGCAAGTCTCGCTTGGACTTGTACTGCCACGAGCCTCCTCTCGATTTGGTTATTTCTCTCTTTCTTATTTAGCCGCTGACCGCTGGAACTCAGTTCCGGCATCGGTCCGCCTTGCTGCTTCACCAAGTTTTCTTTCGACGCGTTTGCTGTGCAGTGAAGCCGAGACCCTAGGTGGGCGGAGCACATCAGACCCCGTCACCACATCCACGATTCATGCCTGCGATGCTGCACCGCTGCTTTGCATGTCATGATTGGAAGCTGTGGCCTTAGTAAAAATAAAAAAAAGTCAATATCGTATCGCAATCCTAGATTGGCTAGGGTACCCCGTAAGGAGACCATAGGTCTGTACTGTGGGGACTGCCCTAGAGAAGTATGTATAAATACTACTACTATGTACTGTACTACTACTCGGGTGGAGTGCGCATCCAAGATGTGCTAGACTTGATTACCAGTTAAATAAGGGGTAGACGGTCAGTACTGTTGGTCAGGTTTAGTTTTGTTGATGCCATCTTCAGTAGGTCAGTCAAATAGTGGTGATGGATTTTTCTTTTGACCAGACGAGACCAGACGACGCCTGGATGGCATCAACAAAAGTATGACTTCTCCTGGACCTCCTGAATTGTCACTCTTTGACTTTTCGAGGAGGTTCGTTTTTCTGAAGAGGTGCATGGCCTTATTGGCCTCTTCAAAAAAAACCGAAGCTCCTCGAAACTCCACAACCTCATCCGTTGGGAGAGGTGGATCAGCTCCGAAGAGTTTTGGAATAGCTACATGATTGTACATGTACGTCACGTAGTACGTGGAGATGGTCAATCTGATCGGACGTCATCATCGCCATAACAATTCCACTGAAAAACTCTAAAATTATTTGAAGCCGTTCTAATGGGACACTTCAACGAATCTCTTTTAAATATTTGTTCGAACAGTTGATGAAGACAATTATTATTTAAATGCCCCCTAATTACCATCGTGGAGAGGATAATATTCAATTGACATCCCTACGTACATGTAAGAAGTACATGATACATGTTCATATACATGTACATGTACATTGGAAAGGCTTCCTGTCTGAAGCCTTTCCATACTGGTACTCGATGTTCCAGTTTTGTGACTAGGGGTGCGCGGATTATTCCCGGAATAATTTGGGAATACTATCGTCGAGAAAATTTTGGGACTTTTAGGCGAATTCCATCGATTTTTTGCCGGATCCATTGACCTTCAGAAGAGTTTTGGGGGAATTCTGTCAATTATTTTGACCTACCAGAGAACAAGCGCGCATCCATTGACGCACGTACATGTACATGTAGATGTACATGCAGCAATACCCGGACACAACATATTAGCTGTGTACAGTCAGATATAGACGTCTAAACCTATACCGGTATATACCTAGTACATGATGTAGTACTATAGTGTAGATACTGCATGCAGTGATCACGTGCCTGACCATCCATTTTGCATACTAAAGAGCATGCGCAAGGCACGGTTCATGCTGGGATTCTTTTTTTGGGGGGGAATTCTGGAGAATTTTTTCGATGTTTTGGGAGAATACTTTCGAAGTTCCGCGGGAAATGCCCGAAAGCATAATATCGGGTGCGTGCGAGCATAATCCGCGCACCCCTATTTGTGACACGAGAATGGCACGAGAATTAGTGTACCGCTGAGTGTACCGCTATACACGTGGTCGACACGTTGTTGACACTTTGTTGATACTTTGTTGGCACGTGACCCCGTCAGCGGTCTAATTTGTGCCAATGCCACTCGGTAAACGTCGATGTCGCGAACGAGAAAGCTATCGCGCCACGACTTTCCCGTACGCGAAATAGTTGAGAACTGCAGAAGTCGACGAAGACGAACGAGGAGGCCCCTTTCGGTACCCCTGACGGGAAGGAGAACTGCAGAAGTCGACGAAGTCGAACGAGGAGGCCCCTTTCCGTACCCCGTACCGCAAAGTGCCATTGATGAATGTCTTCTGCACCTAAAAAACGCTGTTGCGTAGGCGGACTTGATGCGCAGGGCAAAAAGAATTGCTGCAAAGACGTCCGCTCTAGGCCTTTGGAGACATCGTGGGAACTCCTTCCGGCACCCCCGTACCGCAAAGTGCCATTGATGATCGATGGATGTCTTCTGCAAGCGGAACGACCCCGTAAACGCTGTCGCGTCGGCGGGCTGAATGCGCAGGACGAAAAATATTGCTGCAGAGACGTCCGTTCTAGGCCTTTGCCTTTGGAGACATGGTGCGAACTCCTTCCGGTACCCCCGTACCGCAAAGTGCCATTGATGGATGTCTTCTGCAACTAGAACGGCCCCGTAAACGCTGTCCCGTCCGCCGACGAAAAATATTGCTGCAAAGACGTCCGCTCTAGGCCTTTGGAGGCATCGTGCGAACTCCTTCCGGTACCCGGTAACCCCCGTCCCGAAAAGTGCCATTGAGAAATTAATGAGAATGCACTGACCTGACGCCGTGACGGGGAGGAGAACGGCAGAAGTGGACGCAGACGAACGAGGAGGAATCAGGACGAGCGAGCAATGGCAGTAATGTAAGTAATAGCTCAATTAGAAATGAGAACTTGACATTCATGGCACTTGCCACTGCATATTTCTTGTCCACTCACAATGTCTTTCCTCTGCCCCTGTGTGCCCACGGACCTGTTGCTGCACTGGCCTGATGAATCGAATGTCTTCTGCAACTGGAACGGGCCTGTAAACTCTGTCACGTCGGCGGACTGAATGCGCAGGACGAAAAACATTGCTGCGAAGACGTCCCCTCTAGACGACGGTTACGGTACAAAAATTCGCGTTTACATGACGGTACAAGCCACTTGCAACGCCTGTGCATTCACACAGTCAAATGCAGTGCATGCCAAACACGTAAAAAGTGACCCGCGTGACCCATACTCCCATAGCGAAGAGCCAGAATTTTGATTTCTGCATGAGCTGAGCGCACCGTACTGGTACCGGTACGGCTAAACATTTCAAAAATACTATTTCTTGGTCCGCTAGTATGATCTTAGTGGAACGCCTCCACAACTGGTGTGTTCCTCTGTGTGTGCTGGAGTTGTGAACGATAGCGGAATTAAAATTTTTTGATTTCTGCATGAGCTGAGCCCACCGGTACGGCTAAACATTTCAAAAATACTATTTCTTGGTCCGCTAGTATGATCTCGGTGGAACGCCTCCACAACTGGTGTATTCCTCTGAGTGTGCTGGAGTTGTGAACGATAGCGGCCGTGGGTAGGCCGTGTATATCATTTCCTGATCACTCCGGGTAGCTGCTTTGCGCACAGATTCAGCTCGTCTGCAATCCTCTTCTCGGCAACAGCTCTTTTCATCATAGTTTCACTTTTCTCGCTTGTACTTTCCCCATAGTTCTATCAGCGTAGCTCCGCCTCGGCAGAAAAGACAACTCGAGGCATGGTACTACCGGACTCTCCAAAAACTAACAAAAACTCTGCGCACTGGACACACCAAACCACTTGTTTCGACTTGCCTGAAAACTAAAAGCCGAAATCCGCTTTCAAAGCCGCCTTCAAAGCCGCTCCGGGATGGCTTTGAACGTTGATGTGATTTTTCACTTTTCGCGCATGTTTCCATGCCCACTTCAAAGAACATGATGCTTGTATGCGGTTTTGTACCATGTGTGAATGGGGCCTAAGGCATCCCTTGATATGTTTCCAGTGTGTGCCATGGTATCGCGCGATGGGGAATGAGGAATGATGATTGGTACGGTTAGGTGGGACGGTATACCTGGTATCTTCCAACACGTTATCAGGTCGACAGCGCATTGTACTCACTCTATTCTTGTAGTTCGTTACGTTTAAGGTGTGTGTGTATATCTTGCCAATAGTTAATGGTGTACAGTCGCACGCTATAGACGCCATGTTCATTTCAGGCCCGTCGCACCGACTTTGGATGTGGGGCGGCCATGGAAGGGGGGGGGGGGTCCGGGGCTTCTCCCCCGTGAAAAAATTTCAAAAATTGAAGCCGATTGCAAGCATTTCCGGGCATTTGGTGCCATTTCAGTGTACGGTAACTACAATGAAAATCTTTTTGATTCTGCAACAAGCCAAGAAGACGCTTCGATCGGGGACAAACATTACCCTCCCCCGGGAAAAAAATTCAAAAATTGAAGCCAATTGCAAGCATTTCCAGGCATTTGGTGCCATTTCAGTGTAACTGCAATGAAAGACTTTTTTCTGCAACAAACCACGACTGGGGACAAGGATTTGTCACGTTTGCGCTAAGCTGCGATCATCGCGCTTTGTTGTAATGTGCTAAAAAAAAAAAAAAAAAAAAAAAAAACCGGCCGAAAAAGTGGGGCGGCCTCAGCCGCCCCAGCCGGCCCCGTCTGTGACGGCCTTGCGATTTGCAGGGTTTGCAAACTGTACGTGAAGGAAGACAGCATGCCGCCATCTTGCGTTCTCAATGACTTGCACCTTGACCCTGTACCCCAGCGCTTGTCGCGACTAACTCATTCGAAAAATTACTCATTCAAAAAGTGGAACCCTTCCAGACATGTTACAAGCTAGACACAAAGCATGGCAGTCGACCGCATTCAAAGCGAGTGAGGTGCCAAGAATAAAATACTCCACCTTCCATTGTCAATTGACGGCAACCCGCGTCTCATGCATGACTTGTGTGCTGACAATACAAACATCATAGTGAACTGTGTACCAACCAGTGCGAAGATTGTCTGGAAGCACCTTGTCAGGCCGAAGGTTGTCGTCGCAGCCTTGCAGTGGTTATCTGAGGAGGCGAGACGAAAGATTCATGATTTGCTTGCACATTTGTACCAGTTGTACCGGCTATGCGAGTGCCATGGTGACAAACGCATTCTTATTGAGCTTTGAGACACATGTCAGCAGGGCGTTGGCGCATCACTGACCTCTTGCAGTCATTCCGTGAATGATATTTTGCGCGAGTTTGCATCGCACGCAGCATCGCAGATCGTGTCAAATTACGCATCACACTGCAAAATTGCTCCTCTGCATACAAGTGGATTTCATTGCACTTCTCAGTTTGGGAAATGCTCGAATATGAAAATTTTGCGTGTGAGTGCACTAGCCCTGAACATACATGTAGGTGACCCGTTTGTGGTGTCTCATAGCCTACCTCACGACCTTCTGCTTTCTTTCTGCATCACCTGTATCTTGCAGGTATATCATCCTGTGACGACCACATTGAAGTCTGAATTTGAAGTGTGGAGATGCTTCAGCAACCACATCGTACTTTTCCATTGCTTTCATTGTGCTTCTACTGTGCATGTGTGTAAGTTGTGATGACATTGTGTGCTGGCGACACGGTCAGATGTTGTCCATGCGTGTAACGTACACCTGCATGTTATGCATTGAAAAGGATCTGCCACTTGCGATCCTGGGACTAGTATCAGGTCACCTTTGTC